GTAGACCTGGGCTGAGCGTCTGGCATCCTTGGCTTCCCGCACACCCCTGGGATCTGGGGCACAACCGTGGTGGGATCATCCCAAATAAGAGATGCTCTGAGGAAAGGCACCCTCCTTACTTTGGGGTGGCTCTTCTGCTTCAAACACAAGCCTCTTGGAACTAGGTAACCAAAGGCAAGCCTCTGTTGTGGGAGTTGAAAGTCACACAGAAGCATCTCCCTTTCCTTTCCCTGTAAAGTTCTCGCAGCCATGGGTCTGGAAGGAGAAGCAAGTGAGGCAGGAGCAACAGTGTGGTTCTCACAAACTCTGGCTTAGTTCCCTTATCCCAGAATGCACTGTATCTCCAAGATGCCTCCCTGCTCCCCAGAGCCAAGCCCATCTCAGAGACAGACTTAGCCATAGGACTTTTCTTCCCCCACACCTATTATTTCTTAAAAAGAAGCTTCATTACAAAAGACAAAATTGTGATAGCATTAAGGAATTTTAGAAAAGTATTATCATAGTCCCTCTACTGCCTACAGTATTTTAGCAACAGGACGGAATAGGAAGTGAATCAATAAATCCCACCACCCGGCCCAGCAGTTTCTGCCCTTGCCTTTATTCACTTATTCTATATGGTCACAATCAGGCCAGAAACTATATTCAAAAGATTTAGTATAACTCGTTCTATATTTTGCCACAGTTTCCAACAAAGGAGCTAGGTCGTGATTTGCTAATCCTTTCCCTATGGTTGTTCGCAGCATTTGTCATGAATATGTTGTAAGCACATGTGTGTATATGTGTGTCCTGACTTTATAGAGGTATTGAAGATATAGGGTTGGTTACATGTGAAATGTTTGTTTCAGCTGTCACCTAATTAACACTCAGCTGTAGGCTATTCACTGTTGTAAGTGCTTGACCTCACTTAATCTTCTGGATAACCTGAGACTATTTGTTTCAGATTACCAAATTAACTGGCTCAAACAACTCTTCGTTTTTCACAATCGCACGGTGAGGGATTCTGCTCTTCTTGCACAGTCTTTTGTGGTCGGAGATCTGACACCAGAGCACTGAGAACTTTGCTCAGATTTCTGGCGGCCAGGCAGGATGGGCTGGGCGCCTGGGTCTGCCCTCCACACGGTCCCTTTTCTTGTGGCCCCTCCATGAGTACTTCCAACAAGGTAGCCAGATTTCCTCTCACGGTGGCTCAGGATTTCCAAGAGTGAAAAAGCAAAAGGTACTGAGATTTTTAAGGCTCACAATTGGCATGATATCACTCCCACTGCATGCTGCTTGTAAAAGTGAGTCACAGACCAGGCCGGGTTTTACTGTGTGAGGATGACCACCTGAGGTCCATCGGGGGCCATTTTTTAGAGATGGCCCAATTATTACCCTTATCTTTCATAGAAAGAATCAAAGGTTCAAAGAGGTTAAGTAACTTACTCCAAGTTCCTCTAACTCCAGAGCTTCTGCTCTGAATCTCCTAGGAAAGATATTTAGTAGTAGACAGAATGGTAGGAAAAAATAATGAGTACCTTTATTATTGGCCATACTAATTATTGCCAGTATGTGTCAAAGGAACTGAGTGGTTTTTATTAATATGCCTGGTAGAGTCTGGTATGTCCTAGAATCAAGACTTCCGAGCTGTCAGATTAGCTTCTAGAGCAGTAAATGATGTCTCTCACAGTCTATCATACCTCAGTACTTATTTCCCTTTACCCCTCAACAGGAAAGAACTATTTCATAGCAAAAATGGGGCCCACAAAAGTGCCAAGAAAATACTCACTGTCATCACAGATGGGCAGAAGTACCGAGACCCCCTGAATTACAGCGATGTCATCCCCCAGGCGGAGAAAGCTGGGATTATCCGCTACGCCATCGGGGTAGGGTCTTGTTTTCATTGCTCCCCGAGACTTGGCCTACACTGCAGCTGGGCAAAGTGCGGCTGGGCTTCCCTCCCCTAGCTGCCTTTCTGTTGTAGGTGGGAGATGCTTTCCAGGAGCCTGATGCCAGGCGGGAGCTGAACACAATCGGCTCAATGCCCTCACAGGACCATGTGTTCAAGGTGGGCAACTTTGCAGCCCTTGGCAGCATCCAGAAGAAGCTGCAGGAGAAGATCTTTGCAGTGGAAGTTAAGTGGGAAGCAAGCTTGGCCCTGGAGGTTGAAGCGGTCCCTTCCGGTTGCCTCCTAAATCTTGATGGCCCATCCCAGCTCACCCCAAATGGCTCCAGAACCTGAGCCCCAGCTTCCATTCTCCTCTTTTCTCTGAGTCCTTGGGGTCTTGTAACTTTAGAGAACCTAAGCAATCTGTTTTCCCACAGGAACCCAATCAAAGACAAGCAGCTCCTTTCAGCATGAGATGTCCCAGGAAGGCTTCAGTGCAGTTTTCACAATGGTGAGTGGACAGATGGGTCTCAGGTATTGATTCTGGGCCAGTTCTAGCCTGGCAGCTGGGATCCAGAAGTAAACAAGAAGCAGTTTTCGTTCCAAGTTTACTCTCTGAACTTGGAGAGGCATCTGGCAGTGCAGTGGGTTGGGGACCATGGCAGAGGAGAGACTGGCCAAAGTGCTAGCCCTTGGGGAAGGCTTATTTGAGGGATGCAGATCACTTTTGGCTGTACTAAGTGTTGAGGTAGAGTGAAAAAGAAAGATGGCCAGAGAAAAAAGACAAGAAAAAAAGAAAGATAAGAAAGGGCAAGCCCTAGGTAAGTCTGGGGAAAGATTATTCTAGGTAGAGGGAAAAGCAAGTGCAAAGGTGTTGGAGAGCAAAAACAGAGTTACTGGCCGGGCATGGTGGTGCACCCCTGTAATTCCAGCACTTGAGAGGCTGAGGCAGGAGGATCTCCTCAAATTCAAGACCCTGTCACACAAAGCAAAACAAAACAAAACAAAAGTTACTGACCTAGAGATGAAAAGAACAGCATAGAGATGTCTGGTGCTTCCTAGGCACCAACATCTGAGCAAAGCTCTGTGTTCTGGCCTCAGATCTTGGACCACACCCCACGAGAGACTGTAAGAATAGCACACAGCATAGTGGACAAGGAGCAGCAAAGCAGGGGAGGGCTGAGGAGGTGGGAGAGACTAGATAATATGACCAGAAAGTTGGCGATACAGCAAGGCTTGTCTGAAAGTAGATGTGTGTTTAAAGTATTCATGGGAGGGGAGGAGGGGTGAAGGGAGGGCGGGGACAAGGGGAAAAAATGAGAACCAAGACCTGTCATGTAAAGGTGCCAGATCCCAATGATGAATCCCTAGATTGTACCAATAAACTCAATGAGGGAAAAAAAAGGATTCAGAAGTATCCAACTGGGGAGTGGTAGAGGTGAAAAAAGTTAGTCCTTGAATTGATCACTAAAGTTAGACATTTCTTTCTACTTTTGTATATGTTGTAAATTCTCCATAATTTAAACTGTTCAGAGGCAACAAAGTATGCAGAGGACAAAATAAGTATTGCTTCCTGAGGGTGCTGAGGAAGACCTCTGAGATTTTTTTTGTTTTTTTTAGTTTATTGGTACATTCTAGGTAGACAATACAGTTACATTCACTACTGGGATCTTGTACCTTTGCATGACCGGTCTTGGTTCTCATTTTTTCCCCTTGTCCCTGCCCTCCCTTCACCCCCTCCTCCCCTCCCCATTTAAGACCTCTGAGAGTTTGAGGTTGATTCTTCCAGAGAGAGAGAGATGCTGAGAGAAGGGAAGAGGGATGGGCAGGAAAGGCTTGGTGTGATCTGGAACAGGTTGGACCAGGACGGTGTGGTGATGGCTTCCAGCATGCGAAGGGTTGGGGGAAAATACATGCTGGGAGGGGAAAAGGCAGAGCAGATAGGAGCAAGACAGGAGACAGAAAGGCAGTGGGGAGGTGCCAGGGCTGACGGGGACAGTGGCAGTGACTATAGACACTAGGAGCTGGGGAAACGAGGCTACAGGTGAGGGCTTGGGGAGAAGAAGAAAAATCAAAATGGTGAACTGAGTTGGGGAGCAGGTGCTTCTTAGGGTTAGGCTGTGCCCTCGCTCCAGCCTGCTCAGACTTGGAATCTTGCCCTCTCAGGATGGACCCGTCCTGGGGGCTGTCAGGAGCTACAGCTGGTCTGGAGGTGCCTTCCTGTACCCCCCAAAGGGGAGCCAGGTGAGGGCTTGGGGAGAAGAAGAAAAATCAAAATGGTGAACTGAGTTGGGGAGCAGGTGCTTCTTAGGGTTAGGCTGTGCCCTCGCTCCAGCCTGCTCAGACTTGGAATCTTGCCCTCTCAGGATGGACCCGTCCTGGGGGCTGTCAGGAGCTACAGCTGGTCTGGAGGTGCCTTCCTGTACCCCCCAAAGGGGAGCCCCACATTCATCAACATGTCTCAGGAGCACATGGACATGA